ATGTAATCACAAAATAGTCAATAAGATAAAGTGAAAATATAAAATAAATGCTGTGTGGGAGACAAATGTGGAAATATTGTTAGTGCCAGTAAACAGCAGAGTACTCTGTCTTTCACAAGCAAAGCATGGAAAAAATGTTTTGTGTTCTCCTGAAAAACTCATGTTGACTTAAAATGAGAAGGATACAGAAAATAGCTTTATATCAAGGTTTAGGCTATGACTGGAGTATAATCTAGAATGGTCTTGTATTTCATGAGATGTAGCTTGAAAGGTGTAATTAAAGTCTTATTGGCCACAAAAAAATGGTAGAAGCAGAACAGTGGAGACAACAAAAGTTTCAGCTGGGAAGGATTTAGAAATGGACTTTAGGCTTCTTGTTGAATCTGAGCAAATTTCCCAAATTCAGAGAATCTCAAGAAAAAGGATCTTTTTATTTTGTGAAACAAAATTCTGTGTGTTTCATTTATACAATTATTTTTTAGCTGTATCTTATTTAAGAATACTCATATAAAAAAAGAAAACCAACAAACAACCTTCAAATCCATTTAAAATATTTTGGTCTTAGATGGAAAAGATAGACTGAAAATTGGAGGAAGGAAGAGTATCAAAGGGACACTGTATTACTGGATTATACAAAGTGTCCCCAGGGAATTAAAGTAATACATCAAGGGAAGTTTAGTGTCAAACCAGATAAGTTAATTCTATCAACATGATCAAGCAACTATTTACAGAATTCATGCCTGACTAGGGAGAGTATAATGCTAGGGCTGCATTACTGACCACACGATGGAGATGGTGACAAATGCAACAGGGTAAGTGAAATTACACTGGCTGTGCAGAGTTTACACAATAACGCAAAATTTCATATGCTCCAACACCTGTGGCATTAAATCAGGAAGGGACAAAAGAAATGAAACTTTTACATACCATAAACGATTGCTGCTTGTAGCAAGTAATTGGACAACCCACAAGAAGAGAAGCTGATTTAGTTCTGAGTAGTACATAGGCCCTGATTTAAGAAGTAGTTATCAGAGAACCACTTCTGGACTGAAAGTCAACATACTTGTTGAGAAGGAAAAGGATAAAAAAAAAATCCACTGCGTAATACTTAACTTTCAGAGAGCGAGCAGACAAAACTGAGGAAGTTAGTTAAAAATGAAAAAAACAGCTAAAAAGATTTAATGCAGACAGTGTGGAGGCAGGCTAGAGATAAAATGTATGAGAGACTCAGAATAATCACATATAACCCATCTTTTTTTTTTTTATTATAAAAATCACCTATCTTATAAACAAAACCCCCCCCCTAACACCCAACCCAATACGGCAGAATGAAAAAGATTTTGGAAAGACACCCCTCAAAAGTGTAAGTCATCTCAATGGAGAAAAATAGGGAAAAAAACCACAAAATCTGTCAAGTTAAATATAAACCACAGTATTTTGAGAATCAACTTGCTACAGACATAAAAGTTAGTAATTCTTTTTTGTTAAAATAACCACACTAGAAGCAGGAGGCCTCCCAGAGACATGATTGGGTAGATAGGCAATCAAGGTATAAAAGTACTGAATACTAAATTAATTGTTTTCACTGATGTTCACAACAAAAAAGGTTAGAGAGATTCTCACAATCTGAGGAAGTTTCTCAATGTCTATCATCATCTGAAGGTGTTTTAGAAGATGTAAATAATATCAAACAATAAGAACTGCCATAAGGTGATGTTCACCCCGAAAGTGTTTTAAAGGAACTCAAATATGACATTTTTGAACTAACTACTGTAACATATAATCTGTCACTTATATCAGCCTTGATGCCAGAAGTAATGTTGTAACTGTGGCACAGTCTTTAAAAAGGACTCAAGGGCTGATCCCTGTAAAAACAAAATATAAAGCAGACACATTTTTATGCTATTGTAAAAGATCCATATTGTTGTCATGTCTAGAATATCACATGTAGTATTAGCCTCACTAAAAAAAAAAAAAAAAAAGACATCATAGAACGAGAAGAGGGCAAGAAAGCACAGATAACCAGAGATGTGGCATGGTTTTATATATGATAAGATTAAATAGATTAGGATTTGTCATTCAGAAAAATAGATCAGAGGAGTGGACATGTCAAGTCCATATAATCATAAATGGTATAACAGATGTAAATAGCGATGCATTATTCTCCGTTTCTTCCTATCTAAGGAGGTACAGGCTTAACCATATACAAACATTTAAAGCAAACAAAAGGAAATACCTTTCACTCATTGTGTCATTAAAGTGTGAAATGTATTGCCATAAGATGTCACTGAGATCAAGCTTATGACAGTTGGGTCGGTCTCTCTGCTCAGCAGCTAGCAACCACTGTGGGTATGATGGAGGGTCCAGCTCAGAAAGCCAGTTTACTGCTGGCAACTGGGAAGGCAAAGAACAAATCCTTCATACTTCTTCCTGTTTGCTATAAATTCCTGCTGCTGATCACTGCTGTAGTCAGGATTTGAGGGTAAGTGGAGCATTCGTCAGCTCAAACAAGGTTACGTTTTCATGATGCTATCATAATTACTACTAATAATAAAACCCAGGAAAGACTGCCTATTATTTGCAAAATGTTTTGATTTTTGGTGGAACTGTATATCTGATGGAATTCAATAACGTTGAAAGATATTTAACAGTTTTCAGGCATACTTTTGGTGGGTGCTAATTCCACTGTTCCGTCTGGTGTGTGCTCAACTGATTGGAAATGACGTAACTGACATAGCAAGCTGCATTTAGAAAGATCCTCGTTTTCATGTTGAGATGTATCTTGTCACTAGTTTAGATGATTGCTGGGGTAGCAACTGTATTATATATAGAGAGATATAAAAAATCAATATATGTATGTATGTGTGTATACATATATATAAAAGTCATATAAATAAAACCAACCTAGTAAATCTCACCATTTTTTCTGAACAAAGCTTTAAAGTATTAATTCTGTGAGCCGCACTCACTTCTTATTACATGCGAAAAAGTGAATACTTTTACAAAATGTTTCTCCCCTGCTTTTTGGAAGTTCATTTTTTTCTGCTCAGTAAGAATTTTATCATAATTTCATGCCCCCACACTTCATGGTTTGTTACTTGGTCTATTACTCTCACATTTAACTTGATAAGGTCCTGCTTCCTATGATATTCATTTTTGAGTTTTGATTCTTCACAACTGCTGCTTTGAAGTCTTAGATAACATTCTGAGCATTGCACATTGCTCCTGGTTTTAAACTTTCCATTCAACTGCAGTACATAGCTCTGTTTCTCCCAAATAACTTTTCAGTAAATTGTTATATTCTAATATTCTAAAATGAATGTTTTGCTTTTAATCAGGGCAAAACTGTGGGCTCTCTTCTTAAAAGAATCTAGTAACTTCTGTCAAAAGGTTTGGTGATTTAACCTCATCTTCTTCAATCCTTTCTTCAAAGGAATTTAAGTCTGTTAACTCAGTTCAGGAGGATTTTGAATCACTGTGTATTATTTCATACATGCATGAAAGGAAGAACTGATGCTCATACTTGTCTTCGTGCCCTCTCTTTCAGCACCATGTTTTTTTGACCAAATCCTGTCCAGGACCAGGAAATGCAGCTGTCAATAACCTCCTCTGGATAATATGAACGCATGCTGGAATAGTGAGTATGTGTGTTGTTGAATGGTTATTAGCTGGAAACAAGCAGATATAAACACTCAGGTTTTTGCCCTCGCTTCCCCCCTTCAACACTTACAGTGATCTAAAAGAGTGCACGTGAACCTGGACTGCGGTCAATGTCAGGTAAAAACTTTCTTTACCAACCTTTAGATCTTTAGTTATTAATTGGAAAAATTTGGTCTGAGATTTTTTAACTTTCTTAAAAGGACAAAAAATGAGCAAGGACCTCATCTCACACATTGAACTGAGGTGGTTTTGAATCTTGGGGCAATAAGGATGTATGAATGGAGAGCCGAGGGCACCATGGCTGGAGCAGTACTGCAGATATTCCCACTGGTTTCTCTCCTCCCTGTGTGATTTTTACATGAAGGGGTCCTAATTTTTTCATTCCTCAGCCCCTTCTGTGTAGTGGCCAGGGATTTGTCTATGGATATGTGATGGGTTGACCCTGGCTGGACACCAGGTGCCCACCAAAGCCGTTCTATCACTCCCCCATCCTCAGCTGGACAGGGGAGAGAAAAATATAACAAAAAGCTTGCGGGTCAAGATAAGGACAGGAGAGATCATTCATTAATTACTGTCATGGGCAAAACAGACTCAGCTTAGGGAAAATTAGCTCAATTTATGACAAATCAACCAGAGTAAGGTAAATGAGAAATAAAACGAAATCTCAGAACACCTTCCCTCCACCCCTCCCTTCTTCCCGGGCACAACTTCACTCCCGGATTTCTCCACCAAGCCCCCCCAGCGGCACAAGGGGGACAGGGATGGGGTTTACGGTCATCACACGTTATTTTCTGCCGCTTCACCTCCTCAGGGCGAGGGCTCATCACACTCTTCCCCTGCTCCAGCGTGGGGTCCCACCCACGGGAGACAGTCCTCCACGAACTTCTCCAACATGGGCCATTCCCACGGGCTGCAGTTCTTCACGAACTGCTCCAGCATGGGTCCTTTCCACAGTGTGCAGTCCTCAGGAGCACACTGCTCCAGCGTGGGTCCCCCACGGGGTCACAAGTCCTGCCAGAAAACCTGCTCCGTGGGCTCCTCTCTCCACAGATCTGCAGGTCCTGCCAGGAGCCTGCTCCAGCATGGGGTTCCCACGGGGTCACAGCCTCCTTCGGGAAC